TTGATGAAATATATCATAATATTTAATATTGCAATTTAAATATAATTAAATAATATTCCTTTGAATTTCTAATAAGAAATTAAAATATTTCGGTTTTATATTAATTTATTGATTTGAAAAATATTAATATTAATAAAAATATATTCATTCTATTTAATTTCATAATATTTAAATAAAAATATAATGATAAATCTTCAAAATTCTCAAAATATCTGAATAATTTTAATATTAAGGCATTAATTTTAGCTTATTTTTTGTCAAGATAATATATTTTTATTTTTATTATTATTTTTAATCGATAACCATAAGAAAGAAAATATTATAAGGCAATTAATATTCCGACAGTAGCTCGCAAAAGCAACATTTAGTTTCATCCTCTCCCCTATTATTTCCTACCGGATTGCGAAGAAAAATTACAGCATTTTTGGTTATCTTATATGAATTATATTCTTAATATTATTATAGAAAATAGCAATCATTTATCCAATACAAAAAATATCTAAGCATTAATTTTATTATTTCTAATTTATAATAATAAGAAAGAAATAATATGAAACGCCTCATAATCTATGAATAATTTATCGATAATATTTAGCCTAATTTTCTCTATTATTATTTCTCAATAATAAAAAAAAAGCAAAGAAGATTCGACTAGATTAACCGATAATTTCTTTTCAACATTTTATTTAAATCATATTATTATCTTTCTATTTATTATCGATAAAATATAATAATATAAGACGATCAATTCAAAAATATATTATAAAATATATTTAATATTTTTGTAAATAAATACTTATATTATTCTTAAATTTTTTCTTATAATAATCTAAAGAATCTATTTATATTAATATAAAAGTCAAATTTTCTATAATTTTATATTCTCTTTATTATTATATGAAATCTATTATAAATATCAAATTTATTTATTATCTTCATAAAATAGATTTTCTTTAATAATTATTATTCATATTATTTTTTTATATTAGATTTATGGGAAATAAACTCTCATTTAGAGATCTCCGCCATATCTTCTTTATTATTATATCTGTTCTCTTTCCTCTAAGTATTAAGAAAAGGACCGTCGACAGACGCTCCAATATTCAGCTTATTTCATTTCGTTATCATCACCAATAACTTCATTATCTCATTTCATGATAAGGTGCGTGTGATCGGGTTTTCTTCTTTTGTTGTTCGGCTGTTCTTGTTGTCGTCGTCGTCGTTGTTGTTGTCATATTGCTGAGAAAGGCAAAATCCGACTGCTACGACAATGTAGAGTATAAGAACGGAAAAAGCCGACACCGCCCATCCCCTTCTTTGGACCTCTATGACCATTAACCGAGCAATCTTCGAACCTTCGCTTCGCACTCGTCTTTGCCATATTCAGCATTTGTTTATGTGGTTGTTGCTGTTGTTGTTGGTTGAACGGGGACCCAGTGTATCGTTCATTCTTGTTGTTGTTGTTGTTCTTGGTGTTGGTCTTGGTGTTGTTGACCCCCGGGCTAACAAAGGGGCCTGAGATTTCGAGTTGCATGTCGGGCTAAAAAGGCTGGAAACGTACACGCGCCAAGGAAAACAATTGAACCTACGCCAGTATACTGCTTGTTGTCCTACTAACGGTCACTGCTTGTTCATGCCTGCGGTTATTCATATTGCTCACTAATGTTCGCATCGGTGTATGACTTCAATTGGGACTCACTACTCGTATGATTTCATTCAGTATGATCACGAACATTGCGAGGATGACTACTGCTAATTGTGTTGCTTGCGGGTTCTGTTGTTTTCCTGCTATTGTTGATCTTGTTGCTACTGTTATCGCTTGCTGTTGTGGTCGGTCAAAGTGCTTGTAAACTGGCTGGGGGTTTGGAGTTGATGTTGTAGCTGGAAGATTGAACGTGTACTCACACCACAGGAACGACAAAGACCAAAAGACACAGAACCATGGAATATATACAGCTTCAACTACAAGTCTTGCAAACAACACATACAGCAAGCGACGCTGGACAATACGCAATAAGCATCATATGCACACCGAAGCATGTCGTTATTGTACAATAACTGATAATGTACATTTCTTTTGTTTCTATATAGCACTGACCCACAACCGCTTCATAAACGTTGCAGGATGATTCCATTTTGTATCAGAACTATCTACTCAAAGAAATTTATGAGCTCCGTCTTATCAAACACATGTGTCTTCTGGGCAGCTGGTTTGGTCAAGCTTATTCAGCAGGCTGACTTTGGCCTACCATCTTTGCAAGCTCGGCTTCACTGATAGCCTGGGACAGTCGACAAAGAGTAAAAACGATCCTTCATATTAGATTGCTTTCCGGTGTCCAGAGTCCTGAGAACAGCCGAGGCACGTCGTGCACATTCGCTTTGCCCTGTCGTGCCTGGCTGCAGCACTCGAACCAAATGCCGAGGGCTGAAACCAGCCAAACGCCAAGAAGCCTGTGAATGCGGGTTGACCAGCACCATGAAACCACAGGACAAAGAAATGACGAACCTCGGCAGACAGAGGCGGACCGCAACAACAAATGCCAGCAGCCATGTAAGAAGATCCAGCTCTGAATCCCGACCCAGAGACGAAATTGTAGCGATGGCATACAAAGGTATTGTCAGCCCACCGGTTTCTTCCGGCGGAGCTGTCGGTGGAGCATGTCGGAGGTAGGATGTCGTTGCGTGCGCTGCACGCGATGTCGACATTGACGCTGGCTCCTTCGGGCAAAGGAAGACCACAAACTCGTGCAGCTGCCTCGAGCTGCTCTGGCCAGCATGGTCATGTCTTGCCGTTTGCCGATGCTGCTGGTGGGGAGGTCTTGGTGCCTCGGGATCGCTGGGGATCGGCTTGGATTTTGTGGGACGGTTCAGGAAGTGATGAACGTCTGATACATGTTACGACATTGCATTGGATTGCGCTTGGCCATCCCGAACATATTGCAAAAGCCCGTCTCTTGCTGTAACCAACCCAATGCAACATACCGACCTTGTATGTGTGTTGTAAACATGTAGAGATCTCACTCATGTTTGACAAGTAACAATCGGATAGCATCTTTGGAGGCTCACTGCGCACTTTCCTGTATCTTCAAGCAGGGAATCCAGTCGTGGTACTTGTTCCCAGCTGTGTTGGTGTGGGTGTGCGCATGGTGACGGTTCTTTCTGTTTCTATCCCTGCTGATGCTGCCCATGATGTGGTGGTGAACTTTCAGTCGTGACTGGTTGGTGAGATATTAGGACACACTTTAACATGCGATGCAAACTTTCATCTTATCTGATCTCTTGAACCTAGTGTCTGTCAATGCTTCTAGCCTGTTCTATACTGTTGAAAGCGCGTCACATTATGCAAAGCGCCTATTCGACTCAATTCGATTCCAACTGGCTGAAAAGTTTGTGATAGTCAGTACCCACACAATTACATTTCATTTGCAAACGACGAGGCCACAATGCCACAGAACTCAAAGCCTGAAAGCTGGAAGGCCCTCAAGCCACGAAGCCCGGAAAAAAAAAAAAAAAAAAGAGTGAGAAGTGACGCCGGGAAACCAGACAGACAACATAAAGCCACTAAGTCAGTACTCAAGGCAACGTGTAGAACAGCAGTTCTCCAAGTGAAAGCTCCTTCGGTGGATGCGTCGTGGCAACCGGCACCTCTGAAGACGGCGAGTGAGTACTCGAAACGGGTTGCACCTGAAAGCACAGGAGTAAGAAAAGGCTGCGTAATGACGTAATGAACATGCCACAAGCTCTGCTTCACCCCAAAGCCTCCGCCGCCTGCATGTACTCTTTCAACAGGAGTGGGGTCGGCTCAGCAGCCTCGGAGTCTTTGAGGGTGCGATCCTCATTTCCTAGACTGGTGCGGCCAAAATACAGCTGTAGCATTTCGTGCAATCAGAGTCCCGGACGAACAGTTTGGTGCGACGCGCTCGGATCAGATTTTGTCCATCACTTGCCTGCAGGCTCGCCGGGTATTTCGAACATAGGGGGTCTCTCGTCCCTGCAACAGGAGAGATCTGCAGGATGTGCAGTTCCGGCTTACTGGCAAATCACGTGTCTTATGCTTTGTGATGAGAAGAGTGAGTCTCTGTGTATATATGTATATGTATGTATACATGCGTCTCCGTGTCGGTGAGTCTTCGGTCTGTATAGCAGGGAGGCTGCCAACAACTATCTTGGCACGTGGCCTCTGCGCCGACCTCTTCCCTGTCTCAGCAGTGCTAATGCCGATTGCGCTCTCGGGACATGGAAGGCGCGACAGAGAATGCTTGCAGTTTTGCATCCCCGGCAGGCCTTCGCTTCGTATCGCTCCTCCAATCGAAGGCGGGCGGCATGTGATCGAGGCTTCACCGACGGATCTGGATGCACCTCTGGCACAGCTTTTCGACAAGACCGGTCCTCTCACAGAGGCGAAGGAAGGGTGCCTGGTGGCCCCATTGGCTATCAAACTCAGCCGCTATCAGGAGACACACCTGATGCGGCAACGACCATTGGCCAACAAATCTTCAGCAAATGCTGCAACTACAACTGTTCCCGTAACAGATTCTAACACTTGGAGACCTCGCCGCTGACATCCGCGGGCAGTTTGCCCTCAAGACGGAAAGATGCTCTCGGAGTGCCCCAGAGCGTCAGCCCTTGGCATCTGAAGTTCACCGTGGCAATCTGCTTGGCCCTCGGCGGCATGAAGACTTCGCAAGCGCGTTGAAGGTCCCTAGCTCTTTGCATGTGTCGGACTGACGGTACGTCCACACTTAGTTTCGAGCTCGAGCAGCTCTCGAAACGTGCTGTCCTGGTGCTGCCAGTGCTTCAACGTTCCTGTGATTTCCGTTCGCCTGCTACAGATGAACGCGGCTCCTCCAAGGCTGCACCGCTGTCCAAACCAACATTGCATTGTGGGATGTGGGCATTCGGTGCCACGAGAAGCCTTGAGGCGGCACAAGCGACAAGCTCAGCCCCATCTTGGCTTCAAAATGCCGAACAAAGGCCACTGGGCCACTGCAGAGTGCAGAGGTGCCGTCGACCAGCCATGGCAACAAGCTAGCTGTTGTAGCTTTCACGCACAACTATGTGGAGTCTGGGTCACGGGTCGTCTTAAAATACGCGGGTCTTTCTGATGGCGGTGGCACCTCGCCGTCAGCTGGCTGCAGCCGAAGCCGAAAGCCTCGACGGCGACGGCTGTACCCGGGCCTTGCATCAAAGGCCGAAGGGCGTTCTAACGCTGAAGCACCTTGTACGACTTTGCACAGGCTCCTATCCCAAACACTTAGGCCTGGGTCTCGCGGTATCCGCACGCTTTGCACCACAACTTCCGGCCGTGCCAGCTCAATCAGCTTCAAACCTTGGCAGCAGACATTGTTAGGAATTGTAGCACCGTTGCGAGTGTGATGCTTCGGAACTCGAACTGTAGTCATAGCTGCGCTGTGGCCCTGAAGTACTTGGCTTGCAACTCTGACTTAGACCTCGCGCCTGCTGGAACGAACCTGCCTCAGAGCTGGGTTTCTCCAAGGTACACATTCGAAGGTTTCGTGGTACGTGGCCCTGCGAAACGGCGGCTGCCCAAATCTCCGAAGTGTGCCCAAGAGTCGCCTCTTGTGCCGTTTTCTTGTCGTCCATTTCCTTGATTGAGCAGAGCAGCCATTCAATGAACATGAAAGCGTGCCTTAACCGTAAATACATGCACGGTATACACGTACGAAATCTATGCGCATCCCGCAGTCCAAGTCGCTGCCAAATACATGAGAGTACTGATGCTATCTTTGCGATACCTTGTACGGTCCTGACGAACAAATTCGCAACTCAAAGCCTTGGAACACAAAAAGCAGTTCAGCTTCCTGCAAGCGCCATTGCTTACTGAATCCCCTGGAATTCATCGCAGTCCTCGGGGTAACCACCATATGTGGTCGGTTGGCAGACCGTGATGGGCCGAGGAGAGTTCTCGAAGCCAGCTGCATAGGACCAGTCCTCCATGCCTCCATCCACGGGGTATACCTTGTCAGCATCCGACACGAGGCACGTAAGTTTATTCAGACAGAAAAGGCGCCTCTGGAACAAGGTACCGTACCGTAGAATCCTCCCGAGGTGCCAAGTCATTGATCGGGCCGAGGGGATAGAACCATCGGTTTTTGGAGGTCTTCCCGGCAGCTTCGCGAATAGACTCACCCACCTGGGATTGCGTTTGAACTCCGAGTTTGCCAAAAGAACGTGCGGTCTACCAAAGAAAAACCAATGCCCAACTTTGATCACTGGCCTGTCTGAAGGCCGACTCATCAGGAGACTCCGTCGACTTCATTTTCACCAAGTGGTTTTTCGATCCCCATTCATAGGTGAGGGCCCGCATGCCGCCGTGAAAGGTGATGCTGAACCTGCAGCGACTTCGCAGCCGGACGCCCGAGGATTCAAACAATTGACAAGTCATCTGGGAGGCTGGAAGAGATGGCGGCGGAACAGCTCCTTAGATGCCGGGGGCTGAGCACAATCGCAGAAAACCTGGGGTTTTGAGCTTTTGAGAAAGGCACAGCTTGGAGCTTCCCGGCGGCTAAAGCCAAGAGTCGTTCACCGCTCGAGCGGTCTGCGTCTGCATGCATCGCTGAGGCATCTGCAAATACGGGAAGTCTCGGTTTGGATCCATGCCATTCTCCTCCCTCTTGTAGTTCGCATAGCCATGTGCGTTCGTCATTGGCATGAGCCACCTGGGCGCGCAACGTTCCTGTGACTGTAGATGCTTTTGTTGACCACCGTGTGGCAGCAGGTGTCAGCATGCAGTCGTGCCGGCTTGCTGTTAATTCTTTCAATGTATGCAGGTGCCGGCTACTTGTTCAGCAATGAGTCAAGAGCTGCATTGCGCTCGATAGGCCGAGCATCAATGAACTTCTGTCTAAAATGCGTGCCGTATGTCCGTATGTGTTGGGTTAGGCTGCAGGACTGGCCGTTCGGGAGATGTTCGGCCGGCCCCCTCTCAGCTACGTTGTTCCTCTATAGTCACCATAGTTTCTGTGCGAGACGCAGGCCTGTGCTGAAGCCAGGACTCGTATGGTACATGAACATGCCGCAAAATTTGGCACGTGCACAAAATGGACTCACTAGGCATGTCGTTGTCGGAGACCATGCTTGCCCGTGCACTGACTAACTACATTGCACCGAATGCGGAACAGCGATCTCCCACGAGAACTAAGACCCGAAAGCTCTTGAGCAATGAATCGTTCTACCGTGCGCACCAGGCAATCTCATCGCCTTCCGGCTGTACTTCATTGCTTTCTTCGTTCTAGTCCCTGCCATCTCTTCTACCTTTCATAACGCATGCTTCTTTCGTTCCTTCACGCCATAATCTCTCGCTTCATGCCCCATGCAAATCCCAGCTTGTAGCAACTTCCGACTATCCCCATTAAGCTAAACGCGCCTAGTGTGGACTCGCGACAGCGGTCAAAGGAAAACTGCATTTGTAGACAAAAGCGAATCATACCTATGAACGTACTGTGCGGCGAATGCAATTACTCACATTGAGTCCATGACGTGGATCGCCCATCGACCAGTCGTGTTACCTTCCAAGAGGGCATGCGCAGTCACGCGCACTGGACTGGACTGCTCAGTAGAATGTTTGCTGCTGTTGAGCACCGTAAAGCACTGTCCTCTGCGTGATTTGCCGCATGCTGCTCGCAAAGGAAATTCGCCAGCTCACAGACAGTCGCCGGACCAATCCTCCAGTTCTGAACGTTGGAAAGTTTGGGTGTATCTTGTGCGCCTGAGTGGTGGAAAGAGTCACGACAAAAGCTGCAGTCATGCCTTTCATCTCCGTGTAGTGCTCCACTGAAGAAAACCTCTGGAGTGGAGTCGGAAAGCAGCTGCTTGTTGGCGATGCGCACCTTATGTGTGAGTTTGATTTCCAGCTCTTGCCCATTCCGATCCACTACGAGGAGGTGCTGTATGCATGACCAGGGCCTGGTATTCATAACCCTACCAAGGAACCTGTTGACCATGATGAGAGAACTGTGTAATGACTCGTACTTGTCCACTACTACGAGTTGCAATGCAGTTTCCCAACCATTCAGGTCCAAGCCACAATGAGTGTCTTGCATGCCTCGCCCTCGCAGGTTCCCCAGGACTTCTTCTGAGGAAGAATCTCCGGAAAAAGATCCTGCCAGTGTTTTTCCCAGCCGCTTAAATGAGCAGGATGCAATGCAGGGAACACCGCAGAATTCTCAACGTGTGCAAGTGATAAGGCAACCCTGCCAGCTACGACCACCTCCACAACAACAACTACCACTACCACTACCACTACCACTACCACTACCACTACTAACTACTACTACTACTACTACTACTACTACTGCTACTAGCCCGGCTCCTCTCGTCATCCCTACTCTCGTCACCCCTACTCCTACTTCCTACTACCACTACTACTACGACTACTACTA